CATCTTAATTGGAATAGTTCTTTCAATTTATTCTTGCTTAGTATTATAACAATGATTTGAGACTTTTTTTTTTTTTTAAAAAAAAAAGGAATAGAGACAAACAAGATAGAAACTAAAGTATCTGAGTAATTCCTCAAGGATCATTAATTGTAATCTCGTTGGCACTTTCATTAAGCTCTTTCTTACATTTCTTAGTGCTTTAAAGCTCAAAAAACAGGAGGTACGTGGATTCAGTAAATTACTCAGAGTGTAATTAATGGAAATTAAATCTTATAAGAAAAAAGAAGGATTCAGAAAACAAAATCACGAAGATATTTTGGCAAGGATCGGTATAATTTCCTAGTTACGCTTTTTCGTTTACAAATAAAGTGTTCTTATTTTTAAAACTGAAAATTAAGATTAGTTTTATGTTAAAATAGTTCATAATAAAGTAACAATAAATGTTTTTTTCTTCTAAATTCTTAATTGAAGTTGATAATAACAATTACTGTATATGAAATCGTAATAATAGGATTTTTTGGAATATTTATTCATTAAATAAGTGATTTATTCGAAAAAAATATATGTTAATACAAAATAAAATTAATAAAACATTTTATTAATGTTTACTGAAATATCCTTCTTTAATTCACCCAACTGGACTTTTAAAATATTTTTTAAGCTCTTAATCTCATGTTTGGCACAATATATCTCTTGAGGATTCAGTGCCAGAAATTCAAACCAACCAACCAATCAATGAACGAGACGCAAAATTACTTTAATGAAATAATTTTAAAGAAGATTGATGCAAGATACAAACAAGCAGTTCTACGAAATTGGATTAAAAATAATTTCTAATTTAGTTAATAATTCAATTAAATGAGATATTTGAATTCTTTTTTGTACGAATAAGTTAAATTTATTATCATCAGCACTGTATATATTTAATTATTCTTTGCAGTAACATCCTACAGAGATAACACACAAAAATATTTCAATTCTGTAGTTTTTTCATTTATTGCATATATTTTTTCTTCAAAAAATTAAATGTAAAAAAATAGAGAGAATTATAAAAAAAGACATCTTAAATGTTGACATTAGTTGTAAAACACGAGAGAACTTCCCAGACCATGGCAAACAAACTTCATGACGTTTATTCTCTTTGATTCCAACAACTAGTTTCCGCAGGTCAGCAATCTCAACCACCATTACAAGCAATTATGTTACGGCCATATATCTATGTTTATCCTTGCCATATTTACTTGGGAACTATGTCCATTAATGTCCAACTGAGAAGGGTTTTGGCTACAACTAAGCCCGATGACAATAATTTTTCTTTGGCCTGTCCGAAGTCTACCTATGCTTTCTGCTCCAATGAGGACATTTGTAGATGCGCAAAAGACATTTATACCAGTTAAAATAATTCCTATATCTTTTAATTCATCTAACCAAGCTCCATCATTTACAAATAGTAACTTTCACAAATAACTACCTGATCGAATGCCTCAAAGTTTCAGGAAAAGTTTCCATTAAATTGCTTCAACTTTATTTTATAACATTTATGCTTATATTCATTGGTAGAGACACCTCCAAACAAGAGGTGTTTAAAAGTCTTTTGATGTGTAATGGAATACTTCATCTCCTCTGCAATATTAATTCAAAATGTATGACTTTTATGAATCAGTATCATACAACAAGCAAATTGTTTTATTTTCATCACCGCCAAGAAGCTTAGCTTTAAAAGTTTGAAGAAATACATTTTGAGCTGAATTTAAATTTGTCAGGTTCACCTCATTTTATAGATAATTTTCTTCCTCTTTTTTCTTCTGGCTTGTCTTGTTGAAATAGCGAAATTGATCCAATATTAAAGGATCATATTTTTACTACAATTCAGACATTCTAAAAATAATCGACATTTTCTAGCTGAATGGATAGGAAGGAGGCATGCGAAATAGCAGTTATTGTCTCTCACTATCTTTAGTTTTTTCTCCAGCGTCTGATTTTGAAGCAATCAAAACTAACATGCTTGCCATCACAAAGAAGGCATCTTATTTTCTTTGTTTCAGGCACTTTAATTGAAGTCAGTAGCATGAATGCAGTTGGAATTTCTCCTTTCTATGGCTCTAAGTTATACTTTTTTTACCTGAGCATTTTTAAACATATCTTCATTTTTTATTAACCAAAACCTGATATCATCAAAGTTATCCTTCTTCTTCCTCCATCTCGCTCTAGAGGAATGACATCAATTTGCTCCAGCATGACTTTAGATCTATTGCGGAGTTTGAATCAAGACTTCTATCTCAAGCTTTTTGAAATTCTTCATCAAAACACAATTCTACCATAGGATAGAGGATAGAGATATTTATCTGTTGTAAGGCATAACGTTTCAAAAGTTCTTAAACAATATTCAAATTTATCAAAGAGAAATAGTGGCGATAATTTTTTTTGTCAGATTGTACGGATATTATTAATTTTAATAACTCTCATACATAAAGTTCCACCAGAATGACTTCTTATCAAAACGCCCTTTTGAGCTATATACAGTTTTTGAGTAATTTTTCCTTGTTAGAGGAAAGCTTTCCATTACCTCTCAGGCTTTGGATCCGATGACAATAGCTTGCATTAAATATTGAAATTTGCTTAAGGGAGCAATATCATCATCTTTGTGAAAATATTCAAATTGATTCCAGAAAA